ATAATATCACTGAGAGACCCAGTGTGTAGTCAGCGCATGCAAAAGTTACATATATTATAGACCAGTATTCATAGTGGGTTCTTATTTCAAGACCTTGTCTTAAATAATGTCTTAAGATACTAATGCGATTTTCTGATTGATTCGTGACATCTCAAGATAGAACTTAAGACGGTCTTGAATATAAGAACTCTGACTATGAATACCGGCCATAGTGTATAGTCCCGGGGTTAAACTACTTTGTAAGCATGCCGCATTTTTATACGTGATTCCTGCAAGTGTATTCTTCAATTTTTTTTCTGGAAAAACATCAGAACGAGGTCATAAAATTGCGATTCAAATCGGAAGGCTATATTCAAAGAAACAATATAAAGCCGAAGAAATTTTCACCAACGAATTAGATTTATTTATAGATGCTTCTATTTGACACTTCTAGAACTATCAATGAAGTATTAATCATAAATAGATGCATTATTTTAAACGTCGGTATTTATACCTATGTATTCCAAGGCAGAATTTTCTTTCAGCGCACAATGATTAATCAGATTGTAAATGAAATAAATTTTTAATTAGGATAGGAAAGTAGTCACAGCACTCAAAGTATATTGCAGAGCATAAAGTGTACGTTTCGAGGTATGATACTATTCACAATTGAACTTTCGAACTAACCCTCGACATATCGGAAAACGTTAGCCTTTTTCAAGTCGGTTGATAGAACGTATCGTTCTCCTTTATTAAATCATCGCACTCGCCTCTCGTGTCTCGCAGCTTCCACGACAGCTACGCGTGCTGGACAATGATTGCCTGTATATTATTAAATTTTAATACAATTTACTCGATAAATAAACCTGCGTAATTTAATTAAATTTTTATTCCTGTTACGTCAATTCCTGTCAGACATTACAAAATGATATGTCGTAATATGGAATAATCACGAATAACAGATGTAAATGTTTTTTTTTCACGTTTAATATAAAACACATTCGCCTTAAACATCATCTTATTTCTAATATTGGAATAAATCCAATATTTATTTTAAATATTGGAATATTTCCAATATTTATCTTGAATGTCGTTCAAATAAAAAAGAAAAAAAAGAAGGAAAGAACGAGAATTCAAGATTGTAAAAATGTTCGTGAAAATTCATAAACTTCCGACGTTAATTCCGCGATTGTATCTGTAACAGTACGATAATATGATATTGCGTGCGATGTATCTTATGAAGTTTACATAGCGCGACTGCGTGATAAATCCAGTTGCAACACTATCCTCGGAACGTCCGCCGATATCGGGTCTGCGGATGCACGTGGCAGCCGATGGTAGCCAGACGCGCACGTGAGAGCGCGTGACATTAACCCGATTAATCCCGACTTCGCCGATGCGGACCTTGTTCGACGCGCTCAGACGATCCATGTGGTGTAAATCGAGCGTGGTTGGTACTTGATCGCGAGAAGCAAGCGATGAAAAGGCACGATCTATCTTAGATAAATTAAACGCGTTTTTGCACTGAGAGAAAGGATTTTGTTAATTTAGCAAGTCAGTACCTTTAACCAGTGATCGGTAAATATGTGACAACAAATTTTGTTGTTGTGTTTGCTGCTAGTCTGCTATACCAACTAATTATTAGTAACAGAAGCAAACTATATCTAACCTATCTTTTGGATAGATTTTAGGCTTGTTTACATAGAATTCATAGATGAAGTCTTAAGTCGTAGGAAATCGACCAAGCACAGTCAAATGTAGGGAGAATACTTAGAATTGG